CAACAATTGTAAAAGTCAAATCTTTGTAATTAAAAAGTCAATGGACGATCTTTGGGCAGCATGAATGCTAGTATAATATTCAAAGACATGTTTGGATGTTTGAGATAAAAAAACAAGATCATTGAAAGACAGGTTTATCATTCTTATTAAAAGAAAGACAGGTTTCTTGAGACAAATTCAATTCCATGTAACAAGCAACAATGACTCCAAGAGTCAAAAAAAACGTTTTTTTTTTTGAGACGAAAAAAAAACGTTTCGGCGACTCTTCGTCGATAATGAAGTATATGTTATGTAGTTATCAAATGTCATGAACACTCTTACATTGAGGAACTGATCAGAGAATACATCATATTAGATAAGCATATATAGTCGTGTACATATGTATAAAACATACACTCTGTTTCAAAAAACTTTGGTATAAATCTGTGTTTCAAAGTAGTAGATGTTTTGGCATTTTTCATACACATCAAGGAATTATTTGTAACTACAAGTCTATCCTTATTATTATTTTTATTTGTTATTTAAGTTTTTTTCTTCTTTTAAATGCACATATAATAAGGGTAAATTAAAAAAGAAAGATTTTTTATTTATCAAAGTCAATCTCTTAAACATTTCACTAATAATATACTTGATATTGAATTTTATGTGCTTGATGTTGTCTAACATTTTGATTTTAAATGATACTCATGGACACAACGCATATGTGAGTGTCATGTTTTAGTGGAGAAAGAGTATGTAAAACCGAACCGAAATGTGTGGATAAGCATATTTGTGTAAGAATAATTTTTGGGTTAAAAAGACTTCTTTCATTTATCTATATTGTCTTGATAGTATATTGTCTTGATAGTCTACGTGGGAAAGTTGTAAAAAGTAGGTTTTTAAATAACATATACCGAGCAATAGCATGCCCTTAAGTTGTGATAACCTAACTTTTGGCCTCGTTGATTGTTGATACTTTCTCTAAAATTCGATGTCATGGCGTGTGTTATAGTGTCACTTAATGAAAGTAAATAAACAACATTAAATAGCTAGATGATTACAAACCGTAAAATGTGTGGAGGCCATTTATTTTTTAGTAATTAGTGAATATATGTGGTTTACACATTGTAATGACTGAAATGTATACACACTTACGGATTATATATAAAAATATAAAAATACATTTGTTTTTTTTTTAAATAAATGTTAAAAAACAGAAAATAAAATCCTCTCTAGCCAGTCATAGCTTCTACTAGGTAAGAAGTCTTGTCGCAAACCATTCCATGAGACCTTCACTATAGCTTTGGTCTACCATCGTTGTTAGTAAACTTAAACGATTTTGAATCGCTTTAATGACTTTAGCAAACCAATCCGGCGAAAGCGGTTATTTTCCATGTCGTTCTCCATTGCGTTTTCGCTACAAGTGATAAAAAATCGTTTGAAAAATATTGAATGATAATGGATGAGGCTGAAGTGTCCGTCATGGATCAAAGAGATGAGCTCATTCCAATTGGTGGTATAGTAATTATCAAGTAGTCTCCATATAAGAGTTTTCAAACTTCTGATGAAAAGCTACACATGAAGAAAAGATTATTTCGATTTTCCTCCGCATTATTGCACAAGACACAATTACTGTATCCCATCCAGATTTTGGTTCAATCCCCAGTTGACAATCCATCAAGTGCCAGAAGCCAAACAAAAAACGAGTAATTTGGTGTTGCGTGGATAACCCACACATTGATGTACCAATTTTTTCTTGCTA